CTTATTCCCTCAGCCTCCCCGGGAAACTTCACTTTGTTATCATCCTTCCTATTAGCCTCTCTTTTATTTTTTTGAGACAGAGTCTCACCCTGTCACTCAGGCTGGAGTGGCACAATCACTGCTCACTTCACCCTCGATCTCCCAGACTCAGTCGATCCCCCCACCTCAGCCTCCCAAGTAGCTGGGACTACAGACATGTACCACCACAGGCAGCTAATTTTTTTAAATTTTTTGTAAAGACAGGGTCTTACTATGTTGTCCAGGCATGCAGCCTCTCTTCTTCCAGTAGTTCTTTTCCTTTCACACTAAAAACTTACTCAAATGTCCTCATCTTATAGGAAAAGAGGAAGAAAAACCTCTCCCTGGATCCCACACCCTCTTTACCTATCCTATGGACTTCCTCCTTCTGTCACAAAGTCCTAGAAAAAGCTTCTCGTTTTTTTTTGCCAAAAAAAAAAATGTACCTTTGCACCTCCCATTTATTTCTCAACCCTCCGAAATCTGATGTCCACCCAGAGCAATCACTGGAATTGCTCTCACCTTTCTGTGGCCAAGTCCAATGAATATTTTTCACTCCTTCACTTACTTCTCCTATTTGTGTAATGTGCATGGAGTCTCCTTTCTGCATGAAAACACCCACTTAGTGCCTTTGCATCTCTAACTCCCCTGCACTGAGTTTCTCCTGTCTCTCTGCACACCCCATCTGCCCCAGCTCACACTTCAAGGAAAGGTGCTCCCTGCACTTCTGTCCTTGGTCCTTATCTCTCCACATACTCTCCCTTGCCAATTTCATCCATCCTCATGACCTCTATTACAATCCACAGATTGATGATTCCCAAGCCTGTCTTCACATTCCAGATCTCTCAGAGATTCACAGCTGTATTCACTGCCTATTTGCACAAATCAAAAGCACCTCCCACTCCATATATTTAAATCTCATCACCTTTCCTCCTTTTGATCCTCTAGCATTCGTCTCTGCAAAAGGCCCTTCTGTCAGGTCAAACTGAATACTACAACTCCTTCTGGATTCTTCCTTTTCTGTCAGCCACCACCCAAATCACCCTAACTTTTTCATGTGTTGCCTATCCATGTCTTTGTCTCCAGACTCACAACAATTCCCCTAAACCCAGCTGCCAGCACTTCCTTGCTATTTCCCCTATGTCCAATATTGCCCTTCCAACCCATTTTCCATCTGTGCCACAGTGATCTTTACAAAGAGCAACACTGGCCAAGACCTTACCTGGCTTCCCTTTGTGTGTGCAGTGGAAAAGCTTGCTGGCAGAACATCAGAGCTTCCCAGCTTCTGTTCTACCTCTGTATGCCCTTGTACCCTTAACTCCCCCTCCCCCCACCGTCTTCACTTTTTGGTGCATTACTCAGACCCTGATGAACTACTTGCAGTTTCTCCAGAAAACAGGCTCTCTGTTACAGGTCTCTGGACAGGACAGCTCACCTGATCCAGTGCATAACAGTTATGGGATCAGGTTCTGGAGTGAACAGTTATGGGGTCAGCCTAGATTGCTCCACCAGCTTACTAGCTGTGTTATTTTGGGCAAATTACCCTGTGCCTCAGTTTCCTTATCTGCAAAATGGGGGCTAGAACAACAGTACCTATATCATAGGGCTACCTATACTTAGAACAGTTCCTGATACATAGCAAATACTCTATGCATGGTAGTAATTATTGTTATTATTACTTATTCACCAGATAATCCCTTATTTTCCCAAGCCTCTGGAAAGATTCTACTGACTCCTGAGGTATAGATTAGGACTAATCCATACATTCTTCTATCCTAGCACATCTCATACTCTGTTTATGTGTCTGTCCCTCCTCCCACCCCAAAAAACTCTCAGCCTGTTAGGGCAGGAACTATCTCTTATTAGCCTTAGTATTCCCAGCACCAGTTCAATACTCAACAAATAATTCATTCAGATTACGTTTATAGAATGAACAGATGAATGCATGGATGCTCATGGCATGTCATTAACATTTGCTCAAGCATTCACAGGGTTCAAAACACCTTCACATATTTCATTTGTTCCTCACATCAATCCTATACAGAGGGCAAAACAGGTATGATTATTAGCTTCATTTTCTTAAAAGGTATTCAAGTTTAACTATATAACTAACTTGCTCAAGATTATAAAGCTGATCAGTGAAGAAGCCCACCCTGAGAGCAAGTTCTGACTTCAAATTCCATGCCTTCTTCTCTACAACAAACAGAATCACCACTGGAGAATTATGAGGTACACCTGGGATGCATAAAGCTATGAATAGCACAAGAGAGTTTTGAATTTCAACCATGCATCAGCCAGCATACACATAGCAAAGAGAATGCCCCCAAAGAAAGGTAAAGATTAAATCTTAGAAATAGCTTCTGCATTCAAGGACAGCGTGGGCAACATAGCGAGACCCCATTCCTATAAAAAATTTAAAAATTAGCCAGGCATGTTGGCACATGCCTGTAGTCCTAGCTACTCAGAAGTCTGAGGTGGGAGGATCTCTTGAGCCCAGGAATTAAAGGTTACAGTGGGCTGTGGTCACACCACTGCACTCCAACCTGGGCAACAAAGTGAGACCCTATCTCAAAATAAAAAATAAACAATAAGAAATCACTTCTCCAATCTCAGTGTTGAATCAATTAGGTATTGTTTACAGCTGCTTGTAAGAGGCCTAACTATAGCAGCTTCAGTAAACCAAGAACATGTCTCTCATTTAAAAGAAGTTCAGAGTTAAACAGCTTACAGGTGATGAGGAAGCGCCACAGTTCCTGAGAGGCTGGCCCTATAGTTCTACTGCACCATCTTACATGTAGGAGGCAGAACTCAGATTGTCCCAAGATTCCTGCTCCTGGTATTCATGCCTAGAATAACGCCCTCCTCTCAATCACAGGCAGGATGGTGAATAAGATGATCTCACTACCATGATTAGGTTACATTATATGACAAAGTTAAAGAGGCATTGCAGATGTAATTAAAAACCCAAATCAGTCAACTTTAACTTAATTAAAAAGGAGAATACCCTGAGTGGGCCTGATAACCAGGTGAGCCCTTAAAAGGGATTGGGCTCATCCTAAAGAAATTACAAGGTAGCTTTTGAACCTTTCTAAGAGAGATTCTCCACTTGGCCTTTAAGAAGAAAAGTGTGAGGGGCCATGAGGCTAAGATGTTAGGGCAGCCCCAGGGAGCTGCAATGACCCCCATGGTACAGCCCACAATAAACAGGACCTCAGTTCCACCACTGCCAGAAACTGAATGCTGCCAAAATCTTAATGAGCTTGGAAGAGGAGCCCAAGCTCCAGATGAGAGCACAGCCTAGCTGATGCCTTGATTTCAGCCTTGCGAGACCCTGAGCAGAGAATCCGTACTCAGATTCCACGTCCACAGAAACTGTAAGATGATAAACGTGTTGTTTTAAGCCACTAAATGTCTGGTGATTTCTTATGTAGCAACAGAAAACTAACACACGATGGATGCTATACACTAGCACTCCATAGGCGCTGTGCACTAATTCCCTATAGGTGCTGTACATGAATACCCTATAGGCACTGTGTACAAATACCCTATAGGCACTGTGCATTAGCACCCTATTGGTGCTATGCACTAATACCCTATAGGCACTATGCACTAATACACTGTATTTCTATTACCAAGCATCTCATGGTACAAGTCGGCTGTAGCAATCCCACCATCCGCATGCCAGGTTGCAGGAAAGAAGGGAAAAGGCCAAAAGGGAGCTGCTCTGCACTCAGTTATCTTCTACTTTTAAGCAGCCTCCCCTGCTTAAGTCCCCACAGAACTTCACTTAGTTCTCCTAAGCCAGACCTATGTGGCTAAATCTAGCTTCACAGGAGACTGGAAAGTACACTTTTTAGTGAGGCACTTTTTTACTGCCAATAATATAAGGAAGGGAGATGGGCCACCAGGTAGGCCACTCTCAGAGAGAGACTGCAGCTCGAAGATGGCAGGGACTTACTTCCCCATGTCTTCGAGCTCTCTCACAGCCAGGTCTGGAATATCCTGATCCCTATACCATGTGCTCTGTATTGCCAGCAGACTTGTGGGAGGCCAGAAGCACTGGTCAATGGCCTGATGCCCTTCCTCCACCTGCTCTACTGAAATCCTTCCCAACTGCCTTTCCTTCCTGTCACCCTAAGCTCCAGTGATGGTCACACCACACTCATTTACACTATCCACACCCTCCTTGGAAGAGAAAGCATCACTTGACCACTTTAGGGCAGGATTTTTTTTTAACCTGTTGGAGCAGAAAATAAAAATGGCCAAGGTCTAAGAGTAAACTCTGGGGTAGGGGAAAGGTAGTCATGATTCTATAGAAAAAAATGTGATTTTGAGCTGTTGAATCCAAGAGATGGGAAGAGATTTTGGTAATGTCATGGAGGCAAAAGGAACCAGGTTGAGCAACCACTGAAAGATAGGGCACAGTTGAATGAGAGCAGAGCTGACCTTAAGACAAAGTATGTATAGGACGACAAAGGAGTTCTGCCAACGGAGACTAGGAAATTGGGCACTAGAAGAGCCTGAGGGGAAATTCAGCCCATCAGTCATGCTCAGCAGGAGCCAAGAGCCACTTAACCAGGCAGAGGCATTACAGATGCAGCTGGAAATTATGCAATGGTAGGGAAATGGGGAGTAAAAGAGTAGATATGGGAGTTGTTCACAAATAGAAACATGAACAATATCTTGGGTGCAATAAATACCAATTGTTTAATCGCCCTGTGTGGTGAAACATTTTGCAATGGAAATGAGTTATCATTGTTCCATCTATGCAATTACAGAATAGCAATCCCCTCACCAGTAATGAGAACTCTGGGTGAGTTTCTAGAAGATTTGATACATTTCCTGGTCTTTGATGACCTTGTAACACCAGATGTTCTTTTAACTCTAGGTTTCCTTCCGAAAGTAAATGCCTTTCAAATTCCTTTCCACCAATGACAAACCATATATACAACAGTGCTCTTGTAAAATTATATGACCATATCCTATACCTTTTCTGCTTAGGTATATTTACATGCACAAATACCATTGAGTTACAACTGCCTACAATATTCAGTTCAGTAACATGCTATACAGGTTTGTAGCCTAGGAGCAATAGGCTATACCATCTACGTCTATGTAAGTACACTCTGTGATGTTCACACAATGACAAAATTGCCTAGTGATGCATTTCTCAGAATGTAACCCTGTCAATAAGCTACTCATGGCTCTATGTGTGAAAGAATAAAATGATGCCACCTTTGTATGAATCTGGTGTGGAATATGCTGCAATTTTGAACAATTAAATGGCCAAACCATGCCCTATGTGCTGCCTCTATAAAAGATTGTTATAAATGAACATCATCACTTCCTAGCTACCAGTAACCAAATATACAGAACATAGAGTGGAATTCCAAAGACTGATAAAGTCAATACTTCTTAATAACCATATGATCAGCTCCACACAATAAAAGCAAAAACTAAGAGAAAGGCAGCCAGGGAGTGGTTAGGAATACAGGATCTGAAGTCAGAGAGCCTGGGTTTGATCTCAGTTCCGGTGCTCAGCAACCTAGTTCAGCAACTTGGCTCATTACCCGACCTCACTAAATCCCAGTTTATCTATCAAATGGGAAAATAATAGTGCCTGCCCATAGGGCATTGTGCCTGATAGATGAAATAATGCATTCCAAGCCCAGCACAGCACCTGGTTTCATAAATATTAGCTATTGGTTTTCAGAGGGGTTGTTTTGTTATGTCTCTGAAGTCCTAACCTGTAATTCCAATCTGCTTACTTCCTTCCATCTAACTCCCAGGCTACAGCAATATCCAACAGCCCACATATATTTCTGAAACCGGAAGCCATCTTATAAATTGTGTATCCAGCCAAGGATGCATAACCAAGGATGTATCAGACCCTCTGGGCACCAGTGTTGTTGAAAAAGTATACCTAGTTGGGAACCACTGCCCTGCTCTAAGTGTCTCGCTTTACAGAGGAGCAAATTGAGAAGGCCCAGAAGCATGAAGAATCTTCTGGGGTCACAAGACCACTTTCAGAATCTCCTCTTGACAGACCTGGCTCAGACCTGAGACTGGGAGCCAAGTGTCTTGACTCTGATTGCACAATTTTGGCACTCCTGCAGGCCGTCTTATGGAATTCAACAAGCATTTCCTGAGAAACCACAGTAGGGGTCAGGAAGGAGAACAAGATGGAGACCCTGCCAAGAATGGCATCGCAATCTCATCAGGGAAACAGGCATTGGCGGCGTTAAGAATTCTAAAAGAAGTGCCAATAAAGTGCTAAGAAGTCATAAGTGCGGCTGCTAACTCACGAAACTTTCTCATGAAGGAGCTGGAATTTCTACTGGACTTAGAAGGCTAGGGATTGAAAGGAGCCACTCTGGGTGAAATAAATCATTCAAGCAAAGGCCCCAAGGTTTAAAGGGGGAAAGCTTCATGAGAGATCTTACAATCTGCTTACAGACGAGGAGATAAACCACAGAGCTGAAACATCTGGGTTCAGAAAAAGCCAATAGTCTGAAGTATCTTATATAGAATTGCAAAGTGATAAAATTCTTCCACTGTCTCTTCCCAAATTATCCACAGAGCATCTGCTTTCTGCCTGCCACTGGTTCTGAAAGATTGAATGCCAGAGAGAGGAGTAGCTAAAACAGTTCATGTGTAGGAACCCACTCTGAAGACATTCAGAAGAATGGAGAAGCTCACTTCTCATTCTTTGGAAAAGTGGAAGCCAATAGGAAAACAGCCAGCACCTCTACTCAATGGATGTGGGAGTGAAAATGACAGTTCACCTTATGATATTTGATCCTACCTGAAAAATTAAAAAGTATAAATTTCCAATATTTTTCAATATCTATTGAAATATCTATTTTGCTCTGGAGTTTCAGTCAGTAAATAACTACATTTTGCCATCATGATTTAAAGCTATGGAAACAATAGAAATAATACTATTCAAATTTTCTTTACAACCTTACTAAAATGTTAAAAACAAGTTTGCTGTAGATAAATCCTCTCATCTTGTTCTGGTCAGCTATTGCTGTGTAACAAATCACTCCCAAACTTGATGGCATGAAACAATTATTTTATTATTCTCATGGATTCTGGTGTTATCAGCAGAGGATCCTCACAGCAAGTTGTCCAGGTTCTTGGCATCTGAAACAAAGAATCAGACAAAACACACAAGAAAGCAAGGAAAGAATGAAACAACAAAAGCAGAGATAGAAAAGTGAAAGAATAGAAAGTGAAAGTGTGGGAGCAGACCCCAGCAGTGGCTCAACAGTCCCAGATACAGAATCTTCTCTGGTCCAAATACTTCCTAGAGGTTTCCCATTGGCCACCAGGTGTTCGCCTCATGTAAATGAAGTGGTGGCCTCCAATCACGGGCTGAAGTGAAGTTACAAAGTTACACTCCTATGCAAATGTCTGATTGGTTGTGAAAAGCAAACCCATCAGAGGTACTTTCAATCTTCCATCTAGCACAGAAAAGGTGGGGGTTTGCAAAGGGAGGAGCCTATGGGCCTTTTGTAACTTAGGCCTGGAAAGTTATGGTTTTCCTTTCAGTTTAGTTCTAGGAAGTTAGAGTGAAATGGCCTTGCATTTCCTGCCTCTAGATCCTAATCTCCTGCCTCACTAGTAGGTTAGGAATTTGAAGGGGATATTCCGTAGATGACATATCCCTGCTCCATGTCATCTGGGGCCTGAGCTGGGTACACTCAAAGTGTGAAAGCATCTCCATCCACTGTTGGGTGATGCTGTCAGCTAAGACCTCGGGTAGGCTGCCAGCCAACCTACATGTTACCTCTCCTCCACATAAGTGGAAAAGGGCTTCCTCAGAGCATTGAGGCTGGGTTCTAAGTGTGAGCATCCAAAGAAAGCAAACACAGGAGAAAACATCACCTAGGCCAAAGGGGAGGAAACCTAGACTTCCCAATGTGGGGACTGTCAAGATTACATTGCAAGAAGAGCATGTGAGACAAGAGAGATCACTGCAGCCATCTTCAGAACATACAACATGCCATGCATCCCAAATAGTATTCTATATCCACCTGCCTATGCCTGAAGCTGACACCATAAAAGGAGCAATCTGTAATGAGAAAGTGTTCCCTCAGCAGGATTTATTAACTTAATTTGAATATTTTTCAGATAGCACTTTACACCTTGGCAAATCCCCTTCAGAGTATTCACAATTACCCCGTATGGTTGCTATTCTCAGTCTACCTATAGATGAAAGTTTGACGAAAATGCTGATGAAAGGTCTGAAATTCAGAGAAGTTACATGAGTTCAGCAGAGACCTTTGGGAGGTTAACTCTAAAGCCTATTTTTGCACTTTCTTTCAAGTGAAAATAGGTTTATCTAATAACTACAATAGGAAATGAATAAACAAATGGATAAACACTAGACCCTGAAATTATTTTAGCAGAAATTCTAGTCATTTATCAGAGTCCTGTGGAAATGGGACACTAACTAGGTTAGCTCTGATGAAACACAAACATCTTTTTAGATGGAGAAATCTTTAGATTTTAGAAATCTTTAGATTTCACAACCGGTCAGAGTAGGCAAAACACTAAAAATCTTCAAGTTCTAAATAGATGTAAATCAATATGGAAGAATAAAGAATAACTTTAGATTTCCAGACTACAACTATTTTTCTCTTTAGATTTCTCCATCTAAAAAGCCTGGAGAAATTCCCTGGTAGAAACGCTGAAAGCCAATGCCAACGAAGTTGGGGACGGACACTGTCAATACTGAAGTCACAGTTGTGGGTGCCCCCCAAAGTTTGCCACAAAAATAACCTGTGAGGGTGGGAGTTTTTCTTTTCATTTTCAATAACTTAAAGGTGCCACAGAAAATTTAAATCAATCCCAATTGTGACATAAACTCTTCTAAGAGAATTAAATATTCTTGGAATGCTGAAAGAGTTGGTTTTCACATTTAATTCTTGGAGTCATTTTTTCAACTGCAGACTATTAATTAAAGTATAGCTTGTCTAATCGAGACTATGAACAACTTCTTATCTTCTGTTCCCAGCACTACTCCCCAGTATTATTCTAGGAGACACCAGATTAAACTTTTGAGGAAAATAACCTGCATCATTTTCAGAATTAAAAATTTTGGAAATTAATTCTCTGAATATTAGCTCTACCTCAATGACACTACACAGTGAAAAAGAGAACAAATAATTTAAGATTTCACTATTACCTTTAAAATGTAGTTAAAAGTAATAAATGAAGAAGTAAATTCTCAGTTCTGCAAACATTCCAAGAATTGGCAGAGTAGGCAAAACCCTAAAAATCTTCAAGTTCTAAATAGATGTAAATCAATATGGAAGAATAAAGAATAACTTTAGATTTCCAGACTACAACTATTTTTCTCTAAAACTTTTTTTTCCAGTGTCCTTGCTTTGCCATTAAAAGTTCTCTAACATTAAAGGGACTGAACAACAATCCTTTCTATCATTTCAGTATTTATAAATCTGTCACAGATAGGTACTGGAGCACAGAGGCCAATTCATATTTCATATAATTCAACTTACTCCTTTTTATTTCTCTAACAAAAAAATAGTCACTTCCAGGCTGTAATCTCCTTTTTAAAATGGGCCATTAATGATTTACAAGGGTGGTCTGTGTTTTTATTTTATTTTTTCTAAAGGAAGAGAAATAAAACCTTTCATGAATGGTCTCCCAGACTGGCTTTTTCCAAGAACTAATATGAAAAAGGTATAAAATATGGTGAATAAGAAAAATCCAAGTCCAACCTCTCCTCTTGGCATTCTGGTCCCTTTATAATCTGTTTTTTACTTGCTTTTTCTGTCATTTCTTTCCCAGTATCCTCTACCCCTCCCCTTCTTCAGCTCAAGAGAATTATTTGCCAAACCCCTTCTGGATCAATGTGTAAGTCATTCTCTTCTGTTTCTCCATTTATGGGACCCCTACTCCTCCTCCAAGGTCCAAATCAAACATTGTCCTTAGCTGAAATATCCTCTCATACACCCAGGAGGTGATAATCACTCTAGCCTCATCTCATCTAATAAAGATAATACAACACTTATTCTGGTTGAGTTCTGTTGTGTGTGTGTGTGTGTGTTTTTTTTAATGAAATCAGGTTTATTAG